TCTCCACAAAGGAGCGTCCAGCCAAATGTCACTTTTCCTATAATCCCCAGATAACCATTTTAATTAAAATTTACAAAAAAACCATCCAACAGCGCGTGCTCTGACTTCTCTTCACCCAGAAAACCAACAAGAAGGAAAAAATATCCCCAGCAGAGAACAGATTGGCAGCCAGGCTCCCCAGCACGGGCTGGGTCCAGGTCCCCGGATGCAGAGTCCTGTGCCGCTGGTTACCTTTGAGGCCGTGACGAAGTGCTCCCACCTCTGTTCTCTGGACTTGTCCTTATTGACTTTCTTTATAGAGCTTTTGCTTCCACCTGGGTTCCTGAGTGAGAAACAGCTTAATGAGTTTTCCATTTGCAGAGCCTCTGTTTATTGAAAGTTTTTGTTTTTAACAAATGCAATAAATAGAGGACGCATGGCGGTTGATCTCTGGCAGCTCCCCTCTCTACTCTCTACTATCCTGGCAGAAGCCGGGGGCGGGGGGGTTAATTCTCCACAGCTGAGTTTTTGAGTGAAATCAAGGACAGTAGCAAGCACTACTTGCTGAGAGAAGGTCGGGGGGAGTGAGGTTACATTTGTATGCACTCTACATCTATTTTCACTTTGGACTCAGGTTCTTTTATGAACTTCAGGGCAAATCTGAGGTTATTCCTGGGAGGGAACTAAAAAACGTGCTTGTTTCTGAATCTTTTCCCTTTTGACGAAGGTCCTACTATGATAAACTCAGCGTAAGTGTTCTGGGAGGGCTTGTGGGGGCTTGTGGGGAGGGATGGGCAATGAAGCATCACTAGTTTGAGGTTTAGGGAGCTAAAGTCCTCTAGGTTGTTAGGCACAGGAAGACACTTCCACGTGTTGGTACTCATGGACCCAGCTCAGTCACTGCAACCCAGGGACAGAGTCGTCAGCAGGCCATTTTGCAGAGGAGAAAACATACTTGGGGGCTTAAGTCACTCAGCTACCAACAGATTTACAATAAAAGAAATGAAGTTAGCTTCAGGGCCCCTTCCCTATGTGGGCCCATGTCTCAGAATCCTGCCAATAATTTCATATGGTGATCTTGTGTTCTTTTTTGGTTTCAAAGTGCCTTCCTCTCCAGTTAAATAAACTCAGGCCCTACAAACCCTGGATCCTACTCTCGCGGGATGGGAACTTCCTGGATGGGAAACCAAACCCTCAAAAGCCTGTGTTGGTGACAAGCCTGTCACCCCTCACCTGAAACCGGTGGCACCAAATGTATTGTCAAATTCATCATTTTGGCATTTCAGAAAAAAAAAAAAGAGCCTATGTCACATATACCATACATTACCATAAACCTTCCAACAGGACCTTGGGAAACATAATCAAACATAATATTTCTGTGATAAAAATGCACGAATATTTGTACTCAGTAAGATAAAGGCACTAAATAGTTTCACATAAGGCTTTGTTACCAAATCAGTGTAGTTCATGCCCAATTTTGCTGCCAAATGACTTATGAGAAACTAAGTTTTCAGAGCCTTTAGACCAGACTTGTGGCGACAGTGGGGGTGGCTCTCCCCTGAGAAGCAATTAAGGAGTCTCAGTATGTGATCTCTCTGTTGATGGACTGATTCACTCACCCACCATCCATCCATCTCTTTTTCTGTCCTCTTTTCCTCTGAAGAAAGGAGTTTTTAGATAGCTTGGATCTTTTCAATCATTTGACTGGCTCTCACCTAGTGCAGAGCAGGGACTTGAAATGAGAAGACGAACAGACCAATTTTGATCACTCAGAGAGGTCTAGACTTGTCAGGAGCTGCTGATTGCCGGCGTTAACCGGTGAATGGGCTTAAATACAGGAGGCAGAATGTGATCAAGATAAAACCTAATTTAGGGCTGGCTTCTCGTGGCACGGGGATTGCAGGGACAGAACCACAGGAGGAGAGGGACCTCGCTGAGGGTCTATCCAGCAACTCATATCCAGGACACAAGAAATGCACACAGACCCTGAGGTGGAAACTGGGCTGAGAAGGGTGGGCTGAGAATGTGCCTCTGAGCTTTTTGTAAGACTTTATGTTTGATTACACAATAAAAAGCTCTCTGAATAATTAACTGAAAAGCTCATTTAAGTGGGTTCTGCTTGCCTCTCCCCTGAGTAATCAAATTAGGGAATATTTAAAATCCAGCCAGAGGAAGAAGGAGCAGTACTTCAGTCCTATAAACAATATTTAAACTAGCAGCGCTTTTGAAGTCTGATTTAAGGCTCACCAACTGGAAGCTTTAGCGTTGCCGCGTTGGAGCAGGGTTTCTTTCAAGACCACAGGGCTTTTTGCTTTTCCCTTTGCTAAGGCGGCCCCTGCTGAGCTGCCAGCCTTCTTCTTGAAGTTCAAAAGCAACCCTCTTCCCCCTTTAAAATTAAATCTGGTCCTGGCCAAGCTTTCAAAATCTTAAATATTCAGGTCCAATCGGAAAGATGGAAGCTTTCCACTAATGCTGACTTCTAAGATGACCTGAAATCTATTGCAACTTCAAGAGGTAGGCTAAATAAGTTGAAAATACTTCAAGATTCCCACAGACCTTCAAAAGCTCCAAGCCTTGGCTCTGGCAAAGACACTGATAAAGCAAAACCCCGGTTAGACAGAATCAGACTCTCTGATATTTCATTTTCAGTAGCAAATAAACCAGAAGGAAGATCAATAGGAAGAGGAAAGAATAAGACCTCCCAAGCTGTGTTGTCCACCATGCAACTCGTGGCGAAGGGCAGAGCAGGCTGGCATTCCTTCCCTGCGGCCAGCTGGGGAAATCATTAGTGGCCTTTACCAAATAGTGCCCCCCATCTTTCCTGCTCCCTGAAGTCAGGTGTGACTGGGTGACTTGCTTTGTTCAAAAATACATGTACACAAGTGCCACGTGACACTTTAGGTGGATGCTTTATGAGCCAGTCCTGAAGACTGCTTGTTCTCCCAGTTGATGGCGGAAGTGTGGGCTGGGATACAGCCTCCAACAGCCAGGCCCCCTGCATGATCACAGTGAACAGAGGGCCTGTGCTGCATACGTAGGCTGAAGACCAAACCGGCTTCTGGGGGCATTGAGCTGCTGAGATTTGGGGTTGTTCACTATGCAGCTAAGCCCAGAGTGCCTAGCTGATACCTCTTGTTAACTCTCTAGGAGACCCTGGGTAACCTTCCAGAGCATCAGAATCAACCAAGTGTGGCCTTGGTAGTTAAACTGGCTGTTCAAGTCCTCTCTCTGACCTTTTCCCTCTGCGTGTGACTGTGTGTTAGGTTATTCAGCCTCTGTGAGCCTCAGTGTCCCTGGGGCTTCCTAAAGGCTCGGTGGAGGCTTTTTACAGAGAACTCAATACAGTTCAGCAAATTACATCAATAACATGCTTTTTTTCAACAGAGATCTCAGTGTTGGTTCCAGAAAGAGCTGGTGCTGAGGAACGCACCATGAGAAAGGAAAGTAGCTGTCATTTTCCAACCATCACGTCTTCCTGCTAACGATTTCTGGGGGCTTCTATTTGCCAGAAATCAAGGAAAGTGGACTTTGAGTAGTTTCATCTTGTCCAACTGTATTCACCAAGCACGTTTTGTTCCTGTCAATTGCTTGAAGATGTCTTTCCACAATAGCAATCAGAGTAATTTCCCCAAATACTTAACTCTCCCTTTTGAGACTTCAATTTGGGGTAAAACATCTGTTTCTCAGGGCAAGAGTTCAGTTCGATGATTTTAGGGTGTGTACACATGTCCATGGCTGGGGGGGGGGGAAGAACGGCTGATCTTGTACCAGGAAGGGGGCAGATGTCAAAGCTCTCTCCTAGGCCAGGAGACCCACCTTGCGTCTGTGTGATAAGCTGACCATCCTGTGTTTTCCCACCCAGAGCTGTTGCTGGGGTGCAAGGGTGGAGGAGTGGTGTCACTAAATTAGTGTGAAGAGAGGAGCAGTAGAGATCAGAGATTTCTCTCAGATGTCATCTTCTGAGTCTTCCTTTGATAATCCAGTTTAGAAGCAAAGTCCCTAGCCTCATCACTATGTCACCCATCATTTTCTTAATGATACGTATTGCTGTTGTAAATGTCTTTATTCGTACCTATTTATTATGTTTCTGCTCTTACACCTTCTCCAGAATGGAAACTCCAGGAAACAGGGATGTGCCCTATTTTCTCCACTGCAGCAATCCCAGCAGTTCCTGGATAACCCAGAGTTGGAGGAAAAAGAGACTTTCTTGGTTGGAAGTGAGACTGCATGACAAGGGTGAACTAATTTATTTTTATTTTTTAAATTTTATTTTAAAGAGAAAAAATAGAGGGAACCAATTTAAATAAAAAATGGTGTTATATGTGTTGTTAAGGATACTGTGTTGTTTCCTGGAAGTAAAATCTTGCATAAGACTCGATCTTGAAGATTAAGCATGCATTTGGATGTAGGAAAATCTCCATAGCAGGGGCTCAGCTGTGGCAGGATGGCCCTTATGTATGAAGTTCAAAATAAAGCTTTAGTTTCAAAGAAGTATGTGCAGAGTGACACTTTTCACTATTTGATAAAAAGAAAAATGAAATTTTATATGTTATATAATCATGATAAGTGGCTCTCTTTTGTATCCCGGGGCCCCTTTTATGATGTACTAATTTGTAATGAGATAGTCTCCCCTTTTAAAAGAAGGCCACCAGATTATTATCTAAATTAATTAAAAATTTTGGGGCTCTGGCTGTAACACTGGAAGCACGCTGTGAGTGGTGATGCATCCGAGCTTTGCAACAGGCCAGTTGTGTTCAAATCCTGACCTACCTTTCATTAGCTGTGTAAACTGGAGCAAATTCCATACATTCTCGGTGCTTCAGTTCCCTTACTGGTAAATCGGAATGAGGCATACAAGAAGTTGTATGCTGACATAACATATGCGTGAATGGCAGCCATTGTGTTCTAAAATGGTGGATGACTTCAGGTGATTGTGTCACATTAGACTCATCGAAGTGCGGTGGCTTTTTAGCATTATATATTTTTCTAAGGAAGGGAGATTCTTTATGCCTGTGGCAACCAGTCCTTGAATACCTGGACTCTGAATAAATGTTAGGTTTCATGGGAGTTCACTAGAATGCAGATTCTTAGGTCCTGGCTTAGAAATAATAAACCAGAATTTACATCCTAACAAAATCCCCGGTGCTTCATAAGCACATTATCATTGGAAGTGCCTTGAATTAAGGTACATGAAAATGTTTCATACAACATCAAGTACAGGGTTTTGGGGACTCTGCCCAGCAGGTAAACTGGCAACTCTACTACCTTTGACCAGGCATTTTTCCTTTTTTTTTCTTCCTTCTATGAGAAGGGAAGATGGTAGGAGGCTTGGGGAGATAGCCC